TGCTCCACCCGCTCCCAATCTAATTGCTGCTATGCCAACGCTTGTAGTAGCTCCAATTATCCCTCCTGCGTCGGCTCCCGCTCCTGCTGCTGGTATGCCGCCACTCAAAGTTGCTCCAGCAACTAATCTTAATCCTGCTGCTGCTATGCCGCCACTAAAAGTTGCTCCAGCAACTAATCTTAATTCAACGCCTACTCCTATTCCCACACCACTAGCTGTTACACTGCCACCACTAACAGCTGGTCCTCCACTTCCCACCCTGAGTCCAGCACCCACTGGTCCTCCACTTCCCACCCTAAGTCCAGCACCCACTGGCTCTCCACTTCCCACCCTGAGTCCAGCGCCCAGTGCTCCTCAAATTGTTAAAGTCGTTATACCCGCCACACTGGCGCCTTTCGGCAGGATGTCGGTGGTTTTACCCACGCTAACAGCAGCACCGCCATTGCCTCCAATGCCACCCCTACGGGCAGCTGTACCACCGCCGCCTCCACCCTCCAGCACCACAGGAACAGCAGTTGGAACAGCAGTGGGAACAGCAACAGCAACCCCGATGAAGACCACCTACAAGACATTCAGTCTGCCCTCACACAAAATCATCATTGCAGGGCCCGCCACTGGGCACAGTCGGGTGGCCACAAACCACAAGGGAATGCCCAAGACACCCGTGGATCTGCTGGGCTCCATAATGGCCAGTATGGACAAGCCGGCCGCCGGGGGCAGCTCCTCCGTCAGCATCAATCAATCATCATCATCCCTGCCCTCATCGACATCTACAACATCCTCATCGGCAACAACGAATAGCTCGCTCTCCTCCTACACAACTTCGAGCAGCAGCAGCAGCAGCCACAGCTATTGAGTGCGTGTCGGTGTGGGAGCAGAGCGGGTGAGCTGAGAAGAGGCTCCTACTTGGACTTTCTTTAGTGTACATTTTCGATATTTGCCTCGGGATTCCGTTTAACGGAATCCGAGCCGGACATTTTTTTTTTTTGCTGTTTTTTAAAGTCGGGGAATTCTGTACCGAATCTGATTCCCCCACCTTGTATATAGCAAAAGGCTTCAAAATACAATACACCCTATATTTGATAATGAAAACAAACAAAAAAACAACAACAACCAGTAGAATTAAGCTCAAAATGCGACATTTGAGATAGAGATGTAGTTTTCTAATTTATTTACACCACACGACACGCATGCACTCTTTAGATACAACAATTGAACAGTTTTTAAAGGCAGGGCAGGAGGGTACCTTCAAATGTTAAATGGTAAAGATTGTATGGCTCACATGCCCCCATATATACAATATATACATATATATATATATATATATCATGTGCACACAGTAATCGTTAAAAGTGAGCCACCGCCAAGTGCGTGGCAGAGAGATCCCAGTTTCATTTCCTTCTGAACAACTTTTTTGAAAAGTGTTTTGAACGTGCGTAGAACAATACACACATTGATAATTATGATATATACATACATACATATATATACACCATATATAACTCTAGACCTTAAGCCAGCTTACACGTTGATGAAACAATAAAGATTCGGATCGTACAAAACAAAAAACAAACACACAAAAAACCATTTGGAATGTTTTCTGTTTTACAAAAGGGAGAGCCAGCCACAGTGGGTATAGTCAATTAAATTTTCGATACAGTGATCTGAGAGCCTGGAGAAGTGCTTTATGTTTGGCTGTTCGGAGTAGGATACCTCCTCCGACCTTGTTGTCCAGCTTCGTGGGACAATGTTGTTGCTGCTTAAAGTCTCTCAGACGTACTGCTGCCATTTCTACCTGCTCCTTTCCTACAAAATCAAGGCTATGAAAGCAAAGGATGGCATTTAGCGCATTTAATTTGGGGTGGTGCGGAGAGCTACTTCATAGGGCGGCAGTTCCCTGAACTTTGTCCAGTTGTCTGGTGATAGGGCCGGCCACCACACTACACCACAGATATATCCATTGGACTATGCTTGGGTTCATGCCCCATTTTATAAATGAGTAGAGCGCTGTCGTTGCCTTCTTCACTCTTTCCTTGACGCTCAGGTTCCAATTAAGCTTCTTGTCAATTGCCAACCACAAGCAACGGACACTGTCGCTGAAGGAGAGTCTGCATTCAATTAATATTGGCGGGGTTGAGAGGCGGAACCTTGTATTTCTCTGTGAATAGCTCCGTTTTCGAGGGATTTGAGGGTAATTCGCCGAGATGATAATGGTAACGTCGTTCTCGTACACCACCTTGCCAGCTCATCAGACCAGAAATTGGTGCTTTAAAAGTATAACAATTTTAATCTCTAGAGAATAATACAAATCGTACAAAAAGTGGATTGGATAAATCCATAAAATCTAGCTTCAACAGATCCAAAGCCGAAAATATATTGCAAAACACAAAAGACAGACAAACGACGGAATGTAGACAATCGCCCCTCCATGCGAATGGATGTCTTACAACTTGGAGCGCAGTTCCTCGATGCGGCCTTGGGCAGAGCGCTGCAGGTCCATCAGTTTCATGGCAAAGCCCATGTTGCCCTGGATCTTGATCTTGCCCTGGAAGAAGGCCTTCTGCGGCGGCAGCTTACCCGTAAGCAGCTCGAACACATCCTCATCGCTGATGATGAAGGTGACATCACATTTTTCTACAACCAAAAGCGGGGGGAAAATTAATTAGCGGGCCAAAAGGTAACTAAGTTCAGTAATGTATTGAACTTACGTGTGCCATTGAAAATGATCTTGCCTTTGCCCTGCTTGGCATCGATGACCCAGAAGCCAGTCTGTCCCTGGGGTCCATTGTTCACCTTGAAGCCATAGACGGCGCGCACCTTTTCGATCAGTCCATCCTTGTCCTCCTGCATGGCCTGTTCAAGCACCTTCAGTAGAGGCGCCACCTTGAAACCATCCTCGTTGGTGGCCGCCTTGGCAGCAGCCGTAAGATTGTGCACCACATTGTTCGCCGCTGGGAAACCCAGGCGATAGAGAGCCACCACTACAGCTCCGCCCAGACCCAGATTGTGCTGCAGCGCCAGCTTGGCGCCATTCACCTGTCGCTTCTCAGCCAGGCCCCGCAGCTGCCAGCACAACTCAGCACACTGGGCCAGGCCAGTGGCTCCCAGAGGATGGCCCTTCGAGATTAGTCCACCGCTGGGGTTCACCACGAACTTGCCGCCGTATGTGTTGTCTCCGCGATCGATGAACTCGCCAGCCTTGCCCTCGCCGCACAAGCCCAGGGCCTCGTAGGTCACCAGCTCGTTGGCGGAGAAGCAATCGTGCAGCTCCACCACCTGCACATCCTGTGGCTTGTAGCCGCTCTTGGCAAAGAGACGCTGACTAGCCAGAACCGTCATATCATAGCCGGCGATCTTCATCAGACTCTTGTCCGCAAAGGTAGATGCTGGATCGCTGGCCATTTCCATGCCCACGATCTCCACAGCCTGCTTCTCCAAGCCATGGCGACGTACAAACTGCTCGGAGGCCAGAATAGCAGCACCAGAGCCATCAGAGGTGGGGCAGCACTGCAGTTTGGTCAGCACTCCCTCGACCACTTGCGGCGACTTCATAATCTGCTCCAGAGTGTATTCATCGCGGAACTGCGAGTAGCTGCGAGATTAGATTAAAAAGATAAATACAAGAGGCTATAAAATAAAGGCTCCGAGAGTGCATACGGATTATTGACGGAGTGTTTGTGGTTCTTCCAGGCGATCTTTCCAAAGTGTTCGGGCTTGGTGCCATACTTCTTCATGTGCTCCTTGCCAGCATTGCCGAAGATCTGGGCAGCCATGGGTCCAGGTCCAATTTCGGTAAGCTCTCCCATCTCGGTGATGTGACGCTCCATGGGGTTGGCGCGGTCAAAGTACTGTTGGTACATGAATACAAGAGATAAGTAGATTCGTATAAGCTGAATTACAAACAGAAGGCGTTTCCTACCTTTGCCCCCAGGGAGCCACGCTCCATCTTCTCGAAGCCCAGGGCCAGCACACAGTCGGAGGTTCCAGACTCGATGATCTGCTTGGCCAGGTAGAGGGCGCTAGATCCTGTGGAGCAGTTGTTGTTCACATTGTAGACGGGAATGCCGGTCATTCCGACCTCATAGACAGCACGCTGTCCGCAGGTGGAGTCTCCATAGACGTAACCGGTCACCGCCTGCTGCACCTCCTCGTACTTGATATTGGCGTCCTGCAGAGCCTTGGTGATGGCCTCCTTGGCAAAGTCCGGATAGCAGACATCAGCACGACGGCCGGGCTTCTCGAACTGCAGGCAAAAGAAGAGACACAACACCCATAAGCAACCGGTTTGACAATAAATAACCCCCCTAACGACTGCTAAAACCAGTACCGAGAGCAAGAATAGAATAATTCTAATCGGACCACTTCAGTGGGGGCAATGGCAATGCGATAATGATATATATGCCCCCGACCATTCGAGAGCAGTCAGATTAGTGACCGAAGTGCACCCCAGATCAAAGTCCAGGAGCGATTAACATCATTATTGCTCAATTTTCACTTGAACAAAGTCTTGGCAGTTTTTCCTTCCACAACCACTTTCTTTTACGTATTTCGTTCACACACCTTTGTCATTCCCACACCGACGACATACACACGGGTCTTGGTCATCTTGGAGATGCAGGTACAAGTGCTGAGTGGAAATTAGCAAATCAGGTAAGATCGCTACTAGCGCTTTAAGCCGAATGACTAAAATTTTAGTTGCTTAACGTAAATAAACAGCGGTGTGACCTTTGATAAAATATACCACCGACCCGCAGAAAAATACTAAAATATACCGTCTCATTTTAAACGTATACCGAAATATACGAAATATTCCTCAAGGTATATAGAGTGGCGGTTGGTTTTTGAAATGAGGCTTTCCTCTCCACCACGATATGATGGCTTTTATACAAATGGCGATTGAAAACCATTATATTGTATATATATTTATGTATTACTTAAACATCGTTTTTACTTTTTTCGGTATACGTGTTTGCTTATTAAAAAGATCTATGGAGAGACTATAAGTGTATAAAAATTAGAATTATATTGTGAAAAGTAGTTTGTGGATAAAAAAAGTGTGTAATCCATTATTCAGTCGCTATCACTCTCGGAGGCATCATCGGAGGAGCTCTCAACGCGGGCTGCGCGTCGACTGCGACCACCACGACGGCTGGTGGACCTGCCAGCAGGTGCAGCAGGGGCAGGCTTGCGACCCCCCTTCTTTGTTCGGTTGCCGGCGGCCTTGGTTCTGTTGGCCGTTCGTGTCTCGTCAGCCTGGTTCTGACTGCTGTCGGCTCCATCGGCGGTGGGATCTTTGACCGCCAGGCACTCGGCGAGGCGCGTCTCGAACTCTGTGACGGCGGCCTTCAGCTCGGGCTTGGCCAGCTTATTGGTGTTGCTGATGATCAGGCGGAAGGACGCGTAGACATCGTCGTTCTGCACCTTGTCGCGGTAGTTGTGCATGTTGTCCATCAACTTATTGATCGAACGCTCGTTGTAGGTCAGGAGGCTGAGGCAGTAGGCTATGTCGCGCCACTGCCGCTCAACATGGGCCATGGGGAAGCGCAGGCAGAGTTTCTCCACCAGCGACTCGATCTGGCGGTCCTTCTGGATGAGACCCAAAATGTAGGACATGATGATGTGGTACTTGTGCTCCTCGAGACGCAGGTTGGTGTCGCCCAGACGCGAAATGATGTCGGGGAGCACGTTGTACAGGATGTTTGACTTATTGGCTATCTCCTTGAAGAACTCCTTGGTGATGCTCTGTATCTCCTCGTTTTCGTCGATAATGCATAGTGCCATGTCCGAGATCTGGCTCTTCACGCGTATCATCTCGTTCAGAAGGAGATGCGACAGCATCTTGACAGCCGTCAGCCGCAGCTCCGTATCAGTCTCGTGCAGCTGTGCGTAAAAGTGCCCCGTCCACGGCTCAATGATGTTCGGGAAGCGGAAGGTGAGATCGGACAGGCCCACCACCGTGTTGCACTTGATCTTGATGTTTGTAGTCAAACCGAGGATGTTCATCAGGAAGGACATGTTTGACTCACAGAACCGCGATGAGACTGTCATCAGGCGGGCCAATGTGAGGGTCGCTGCCTGCTGAAGCTTCGGATGCCGGTACTCGCCCGGCTTCTTGCAGATATCAATGATGACGGGCGTCAGCCAGTGGAGCAAGCCGTTCGGATCGTAAATCAGCATGTCCTCGCATATGGCAAGGATCTCATCGGCAATGCTATCCTCTGCTGTGGCCCCCACCAAATCTTCGTCCGGCTCCTGTTGCGGCTCTGCGGCCGAGTTGGACAAACGCTTACGCACCTCCATCGCCGAAACGTTCATGGTGCGTCGCAACAGCTGCTGCTGGGCGGCCTTCCTGCCAGCTTCTTGCGTACGTGTATCTCTCTCCTGCTGGGCTGTGAGCTCCTCGCGGTACTTCATGTTATTGTAGACATCCATGTCCAGGAATATCATCTCCTTGATGGTCATGTAACCGATGCAGAACATAAATCGCGACACCAGAAACACGGGCATACAAGTTCCAGGCGGTGGTCCCCCTGGGCTCTGGGTGCCCTGTGTCTGTGTCTGTGGAATGGACAGCGGCTGTGTGTACGCAATCTCTGTCGGCTGCGACTCCAATGCCAGTTCGTTTTCCTTGTCGGCATTCACTGGCGCGGCGGTGGCGCCCAGCCAGTTATGGTAGAATCGCTTTTGGAGCTCCTTGAGCAGGTCCTGGACCAGCACATCGGGGGACTGGCACATGCGGTAGATGTACTCCAACACGCTTGTGGCCATGCCATCAAAGTCCTTGAGCTTCTCGTGGAAGAAGCAGTCGAAAAAGAAGCGTATCACCTCCACCACGAACTTGGCGTCGGTGTTGTGGCGCTTATAGTACTTGGCGTTGTTGTTGGCATCGATGCTATTGACCAGTAGACGCAGGCAGCCAGCGAAGAGGCGCGGTTCGCTACGTGCGCGCTGCCCCACGGCAATGTCTTCGATGATCGCCGTGTTGGCGGTGACAATGCTGTTCTTAGCCTTCGATGCCATGATCAGCAGCTCGAGGGCGAGTCGTGCCTCGTTGTTTGTGGTGCCCTCCAGCTTCAGGGTGAAGCGCTCGAACAGTACCTGAATGACAAGGGCATCTATCTGCCCGACGTTCACCCACTCGGCCACCAGCGTCTCTAGCGACAAGTAGTGTCCATAATCGATTTCCTCGAGAAATTTCGAGAGATTTTGCACGACCCTTATGGCATGAGCACGTGCCTGCAGCTCTGTAGTAAAGAGTACCCGGCGATAGGCCTCGGAGACGGCATCGCGCTTCTCCTTGTCCGACGACCACACCAGCATCAGCATCTTCCGCATACCGGCATCTGTGCCGGCGATGCCGAACATGTAGCCGGTGGTGAAAAGGTCCACTGCCTCCAGGACATCTGTGTTTGTCTTGGACATGAGCAGGTCCTGCAGCTTGGGATAGGCACCCGTCACAATGGTGGTGTAATCGATGCTGTCCTTGAGGAACTGCACCGTCTTGATCTGTCGCAGCATCTCCTCGCTCTAAAATAGCGAAAGCTTAGCAAAATGATTCGATCTCTGCGCTGAAATGGAACCTACGCTTTGCTTGAGGCCTGCGGCCAGCAGATGGTAAGTCTTAAGCAGTTCCATAACATAGAAGACCTTCTCCTCGAACTCCAGCATGGAACTAAAACGAAAGGATTAATCAGAGCTCAAATAAAGAAAAATAAAAGGAAGCTGGTGGTGAGACTAACACAATTTCTTGATTTCCTGCCAGGAAGTCTATTTTGCGTACCAGAACCACGGCCTTCTTGTACTCCTTGTCACGCATGAGCGGCAATATCTTCTCCAGCAGTTCTGTGTCGCTCTCCTCCTTGTCGAAGTCCAAATTGGGAACTGCAATGCCAATGAAAGGATAATATTCGAAAGAAAGCGAAAGAAAAGATGATTGAAGTTTTACATTCGGTTAAATGCTCTTTAATTTCAGGCAAGATCTCGATCGCCCTTTCGCTCCATTGCTCATTGAGCCGTTCCTCCTCTTTGCGCTCCGCCTCCAGCACTTCGTTGAGCTTCTCCATGATTTCTACTTCATTCTGGTGCTTGTGGAGGAGCTCCTCCAGCGATAGCTTGCTCGAGAATGGATTGCTCTCGAGCGTCGATTTGATCAACTGCATGGCCGCCTTGCGCACCAGCGAGCTCTTGTCCTCTAGCCGACCCACAGCCGCGGCCAGTACCTTTGTGAGATAGGTGAGCGGTATGGCATGTTGGGTCTTCAGGTGCACCAAAATGTGCAGGGCCTTGGTGCGCACGTGGGCGGAACCGTCCATGATGTGGTCGTACAGATGGTCTAGGAACTCGTTGCGCACCTCCTTCATTTCATCGCTGAGATCCTCGGCGGTCAGGTCACTAATCACGGCATCGGCTAAGATCTGCAGAACGGTGTTGCGTAGCATGTGCGACTGGCAGTCGAGCAGTTCATCGCTGACCTTTGACAGATGCGGAATGATGAGCTCTGGGGAGATGCTCGAGAACTCAGATAGGAAGGTGGAGAAATGCTTAGACACCGTCGTGTCCGCGCTATCCAGCTGAAGGGCCTCCACAATGCTCTTGAGCAGAATTTCGAAGACCTTCGAAATGCCGTACTCCTCGTGTAACGTCAGTATGCCGTTGGCCACCGCTGCGGCGGCGTGCTCAGTGCCGCGCAGGATCTGCAGTATGCGGACCGGGAAGGTCATGGCGTGGTTGAAGCGCTTAATGCATGTGCCCAAAATCTGAAACAGGGTATCGAACACATGTCGGTTGTCGTGGCGCATCGGCGTGAGCTCCAAAGTGCGATAGCAAATGTCACAGAGCATCCTGTAAGACAAAAAATAGGTGGAACTGAACAACTGATCTGACCGGATCGTAATGGGTGTTTTCGTGCTCACGTTATAAAGTCCTCTTCAGCTATGGGTGGGGCCCAGAGCCGCTCCAGCGGCAACTGGAGGATATTGAAGAGCTGAACGAGAAATTTGCCGCGCTTTTCATCCCAGTCGGGGTACTGATCGAGGGCCTCAGGCTGCTTGCCGCGTTTCTTCTGCAAATTCATCTGCTGGTCGCGCTTCGCACGCTGGGCCACACTGTCGATCTTCTTGACGACGTTCACCTGCAGGTAGAGTGTCATCTTGGTGAGATTCAAATGGCGGATGCGGTTCGTAGGCGGCTCTTTGTCTGCGAAAGTCTCTGTGAGGCTCTGGCCCAGCATCTCGACAGTCATGTACAGCAGGTCGAAGGAACGCATCAGGTTCCGAAGGGAGGCCGTATCCGTGGCGTTCGACTCGATGACGGAGTAGTACGTGTCGAAGGTATCCAAAATGTAGAAGGCATCCTTGTCGTGGCTCACTTTGCGCTTGCACTCTGCAAAATGTCGGTAGTGTTAATCCAAGGTGCCTCTGTACTTCGGTTTGAACGCGTCGGACGCGCCAACTACCACCCGCTTACCCAGCAGTTTTTCGGGTATTTCTTTGCTGCTGTACAACTCCTTGACGTAGTAGTGGTCGCCGCTGGAGTTGACCAGATCCTCGGAATTCAGTGGCAATATGAACTGAAAGTCATGCGTCTCCTCCATTGCACAGAAAATGATCAACAAATATTTTTTTGCCGCGAAACAAAATGTAAGCGTCGCTATTCTATACAGTGTGACCGTCGAGCCATTGATAAAATATACCACCAAGCCGCAGAAAAATACTAAAATATACCGTCTCGTTAAAAAATATACCGTAAATATACCGTCAGCTCATTTTTGGACGCTAAAAATACCGAAAAGTATCAAAAATGCCGTAAACGGTCACACTGATTATATAGTGATGTGACTATCAACTTTCGATACATGCAATGTAATATACCGCAGCGTTAGATAGATGCATATAGTGGCAGTTGTCTTTTTGAAATGGGAAAAATTGATTTATTATGTACTTATTATACTATAATACACACTATAATTATCATACAAAAATTGTGTTGAACTGAAACAACTTTATATGGGGCATTGGGGATCCGATGGCCAGGATAAGAAGCGATTCGCAGTAAAATAGTTCATTTTATGAGGTGGTCATGTTCTTAACACTAGTTCTTTCATTCGAAGAAACATTTATGGATCTCAAAGCTTTTTTTCAAGGATATGTTCTCCATTCTTAATTGGGTATTCTCTACGCGTAGGCATTCAGCCTCTGCTTGCAGCTCATTGTTTCTTTGTTGCAAAAACAAAATTAATGATGATTCGGACTGAGAATGGCTGGCTTCTTCCAAGCTATCGGACAACTGGTCTTCAATGATATATCTATCATTGTCATGACTTTCGGAATGTGTGGTTTGCTCCCCGCCATCGGACATTTCGTCCTCAACGATATATTTTTCAAATTCTGCATCTGCGGCTTGTTCCAATCGTGCCAAGCTCTCAGCGGACAGCAGACTATTCTCAATATTCAAGCTTTCGGACAAAGGCGGTTTTACTGTAATATCACTTTCTGTTTTCAGCTCCGGCTTTATGCGGCGACGATATCGCTTTTGCCATCTGCTAAACACAGGTCTGTGCAATGGTTCATGGCCTAAAATAAAATATATTCAATTAATACTTGCTCTTTTAATTACAAGTAGCACATACCCAAGTTTTCAGTGGGAAGACTTCCTATCCGAAGCTTTCCATTCACAAAGCATTCATCTAGGAAGTGCTTTACGCATACCTTGGCGCGCGTAGGCGCCCCACTTATTCTAAGATTCGCGAACCAATGTTGTCGATTTCCTTTGTGGACAAAGTATGTGCGCTCATGGCTTGAGCAGCCTTTTACCAAACACTTTACAATTGGTCTGAAATAAAAAAAATAATATTTCAATGCCAGGAATTCTAGTTCTGATTGCCAGAATACATCGAACGAACAATAAGACGCACGGACAGACTTGGCTGTGTAATTACACGTATATGTACGTCAAAGTATGCATTTACTGTTTCACGTACCTTACCCACTCCATTTCAAATGGATTATTTTCCATTAATCTGTACTCTCTTAATTATTATAGTTGTATTTGCACTTTCCCTAGAGATAAGACTTGTTTAGTTTATTTATTATTTACTGAAAAATTGTTCCTGTGTGTGTGCACTTAGGGAACAGGGTTGATTCTGTGTCGATAGTTGGGTTGCGCTGTAAAAATACCAACATTTAATACCGCAATTTAAAAATATTTAAGCGGCCATATCAACAAACATTTGTTTGTTATAATATATTAATATGTATTTTATATATAATAACATATCACAATTATCATAATACAAATTATGGTACATTTATAATTCATTGCCGATAAATCCGTTATGCCATGGAGGATGTTTTTCATTATTCGAACAAACATTTATGGATTTCAAAACTTCGTTTCAAAGAAATGTTCTCCATTCTTAATTGAGAATTTTCTAAACGTAGGCATTCAGCCTCTGCTTGCAGCTCATTATTTCTCTGCTTCAAATACAAATTTATGGATTTTAATGTTGACTCCGACTGTGAATGATCTTCAATGACATATCCATCCTTTTCGGAATGTGTGGACTGTTCCGCGCTATCGGACTGGGGATCTTCAACGATATATTTATCAAATTCGGATATATCCTCCTGGTCCCATCCATCAATTTGTTTGTTCTCTTCTTGGAGCTTAGCTTTAGCTTTTTGTATGCTTATTCTTTGATGTCTGCTAAACTTAGGTAAATACACTGGCTCTCGGCCTAGAATTAAAAGAAAACATAATGTAATTCATATATGTATGGACATTCATTTAATACCGCTTATAAAACAACTTACCTAAATTTTCAGTCGGAACGCTTCCCATCCTAAGACGATGATCCAACAAGCATTCCGCCAGGAAATGTTTTGCGCACACCCTAGAGCGCCTTCGCGCTACCTTTATTCCCAGATTAGCGTACCAATATTTGCTATTTCCAAGCGGGATCTGGTATGACCGCTTATGCCCTGAGCAGCCTCTTACTAAACATGGCCACATTTCTCTGAAATATAAAGAATCAATTAAAACTTAAATGCAAGAATATGTTTTTCTGTTCGATAATACCATAAATTGTATGTATGAAACTTACTTGCGTGCTGGCGAAACTTCGACGGGGTTGCTAGCCTGATTTAAATTCATTTCTGTTTTTATTTATAACAAAAAGAAGCGCAGATCCGATCAGTTTGGTGGCCGTGGCTGTAGGTACTTCTTCCGAATGATGGCACCCTGACTTACGGACCGACAGACTGGCTGTGCAATAACATACATATGTGTGTGTTCCAGATTAATGCACCTGTACAGTTTTCTCCTTCTGATTATTCTACTTTTTTTATTGCTTTTTCCCTTTTTAACTATTCACATAAAATATTTTTGTTTGCCAATTTCGTACACTTGCTTTGTGAGGCCGAAATAACAGGGTTGATTCGGCGTCGATAACGGGGCTGGCACATCATAGAAAAAAGGAGGATAAAAAATACCAAAATGTAATACATAAATATTTCAATATTCACTGATTAATGCAATATGTTTATTAATATTGTATTATTAAAAACATTTAATCATAAATGCAAATGCAACGACAACATGGGCACCAAAGCAACTTTCAAATTTAGCTCCTTTAACGGGGCTGGCGTCAGCTGTTCGTTATCAGACGGGGAAAGAAGCAACCGGTTGGATCCACCGTGAGGGTATATAAAGAAGAAACCGATTGGATCCACCGCAATTTATTTCAGCGGCTCCGTAAGCAGAAACACAGCAAACATGACCAAGACTAGAGTTTACGTTATCGGCGTGGGCATGACCAAGGTACGCCCGCTGAAGTTTGACCTTTGTGCTGTCTTTCATTTTATCATTATTCTTGTGTATCTCTTCTTAGTTCGAAAAGCCCGGCCGTCGTGCTGATGTCTGCTATCCGGACTTTGCCAAGGAGGCCATCACCAAGGCTCTGCAGGACGCCAATATCAAGTACGAGGAGGTGCAGCAGGCTGTGGCCGGTTACGTCTATGGAGACTCCACCTGCGGCCAGCGTGCTGTCTATGAGGTCGGAATGACCGGCATTCCCGTCTACAATGTGAACAACAACTGCTCCACAGGATCTAGCGCCCTCTACTTGGCCAAGCAGATCATCGAGTCTGGAACCTCCGACTGTGTGCTGGCTCTGGGCTTCGAGAAGATGGAGCGTGGCTCTCTGGCGTCAAAGGTAGGAAATCCGTCTGCTTGGAATTATACTTAAACGAATCTTGTTATCGCCTGTGTTAATATACCAACAGTACTTTGACCGCGCCAACCCCATGGAGCGTCACATCACCGAGATGGGAGAGCTTACCGAAATTGGACCTGGACCCATGGCTGCCCAGATCTTCGGCAATGCTGGCAAGGAGCACATGAAGAAGTACGGTACCAAGCCCGAACACTTCGGCAAGATCGCCTGGAAGAACCACAAGCACTCCGTCAATAATCCGTAAGTTCAGTCGAAAGTTCACTTGCCACCAGCTTATCTTATCGCCGAGAGCCTCCGACCATCATCATCAGTCCACTCCATTGCCTGCATTCAGTCGGGAGACCGACCTATACACGCGTTTCTTTTATCTGTCGGACTCTATTGGTTCCAGCTACTCGCAGTTCCGCGATGAATACACTCTGGAGCAGATTATGAAGTCTCCGCAGGTGGTCGAGGGAGTGCTGACCAAACTGCAGTGCTGCCCCACCTCTGACGGCTCTGGTGCTGCTATTCTGGCCTCCGAGCAGTTTGTGCGTCGCCATGGCTTGGAGAAGCAGGCTGTGGAGATCGTGGGCATGGAAATGGCCAGCGATCCAGCATCTACCTTCGCGGACAAGAGTCTGATGAAGATCGCCGGCTACGATATGACGGCTCTGGCTAGTCAACGTCTTTTTGCCAAGAGCGGATACAAGCCACAGGATGTGCAGGTGGTGGAGCTGCACGATTGCTTCTCCGCCAACGAGCTGGTGACCTACGAGGCCCTGGGCTTGTGCGGCGAGGGCAAGGCTGGCGAGTTCATCGATCGCGGAGACAACACATACGGCGGCAAGTTCGTGGTGAACCCCAGCGGTGGACTAATTTCGAAGGGCCATCCCCTGGGAGCCACTGGCCTGGCCCAGTGTGCTGAATTGTGCTGGCAGCTGCGTGGACTGGCTGAGAAGCGACAGGTGAATGGCGCCAAGCTGGCGTTGCAGCACAATCTGGGTCTGGGCGGAGCTGTAGTTGTGGCTCTCTATCGCCTGGGCTTCCCGGGAGCAGCCAAGGCAAAGTTGTAAATGGGATTGGATTTTGTACATATTTACTATTAAACGTGAACTCTTTTATAATCTTACAATCTTTTTCCAATCTCCAGTCTACTCGAAGATTAGATTATACAATGGTTTTACTTGCGTTTCAGCTTGGTGGCTGCCTTTCCACCTCTGCAAATCCGGCGTAATCCTACGCAGGCAATGAACAGGAGAAGTAGAACAGAGATTGCCACCAAGTAGACATCCAGCGAGTAGTAGACAAACCGGGAGAGATGCACGGCGCTGGGTTGGATGAGAGGTGCTCCTTTGGTCTCGGCGACATGCTCCACCCACCAGATGGCCGTTTCCAGAGGAGGCTGCACTCGGCTGTTATACGCGGAGGCCACGGCCAGGGCCTTGGCCTTGAAGGAGGGATCCAGCGCTTTCGTGAGTGTCTCATAGACTGTCTTCTCGCTGAGCTTATGGAAGTCCAGACGCAGGGCCATGCCCCGCTGCACCAGAGATTCGATGTTCAGTGACTGATCGCCATACATGGGCATGCCCACAATGGGTATGCCGCTGGACACAGCCTCCGAGGTGCCCATGAGGCCGCCGTGGGACAGAAATAGCTTAACATTGGGATGGGCGAATATGTCGCGCTGTGGCAGCCACTTCAAGATGTGCAGATTGTCGGGCTTGTTGGGCAGCGTATCGTTCTCCCACTTCCAGATGACCTGCTGCTCCAGACGGCCAATGGCACGTACCATGCCATCTCTCTTCGCCTCGGACAAGGAACTGGCACGCAGCTGAGAGCCCCAGCTGATGAGGATTACGCCTTTGGTGGCCTTATTAAGCAGCTGCTGGAGATCATCGGGCAAGGGCTGGGCGGGCTTCAGGTGCACTCCGCCCACTTCAATGATGTTCGGAGGCAGAGGCTTGGGTCCACTCAGCGAGAAGTGCTGGTTGAGTAGCATCAGGGAGGTATTTCTCACCATCGCTTGGGTGGAAGGCAGCCCAGGACCGAATTTCTGGCGTATCAAGGCATCGGCAGCGGAAAAACTGAACATTCGGTAGAGCATATTAATCGAATGCACTGTGATCCAATTACCCAATCGACCGGCAAACGACATCTCCTGCGACTGACCCATGAAGAGGGCCGAGATATACGAAGGGATCAACGGAGCGCCCATTCTCTCATAGTGCCAGGGCATCAGAGCACAGCTGCTCATGCCAATCACCGGCGCCTGCAGCACATGCGCCACACTCATCAGGCAGTCCGTGTTGAAGTGCTCCGTCAGGATCACATCATAGTAGCCAGGAGGATGCTTAAGGATCCTTGCCAATGCCTCACTGTTCAGGGTGGTGTTGCAGGCCTCTTTGCCGGCGACGTAGAGCATGTAGAACTCTGCGTAGTGGAACAGAAATGGTAACGGCCGCTCGAATTCCTATAGAAAGTGTATACCTTTAGTATAATTGAATTTCAAAGACATTTGACCTACCGTCAGTGGAATGGCATCCGACAAGTTGGAAGATGGCAGCAGATAGTCCGTATATCCAGAGGGAGGTTCCTTATCCGGAAAGGGACTCAAAACATCCACACTGTGGCCCGCCTCGGCCAGTCCCCGCATAATCGGGTGAAAGAATTTGAAGTGGCTAATCGATGGATGGGCAAACATGCCTAAGATCTTTAGAGAGCTGGCCGTACCAGTTAGGGATATGACCGCCAGCAGCGATAGCCACTTGTAGACCTGATTATCACTCATTTTTGCTGTGCGACGGAATAGATTTGTGATCATTATCAATATTAAGTATAAATGTGCTTGTGTAAAGTGCAATTATTAGTTTGTATGTGTGTGTCAGATCCTAATCTAAAATTAACAATTAGAAATTGCCACCTTTCTTTTTAATTAGAAAATAACACAAATAAACTCACCGGCTTTGTTTTTAGACCTCACGGGGACAGATCCGTCGCTGGCAAAAGATGAGCGTCAACTGATGAATGAGTCCCCATAAAGGGGACCCCAAAAGAAGAGAACTTTACAAAATTCAAAGTGTTCTCTAGCCTCTACCTGTTTCTCTCTTTCCCTATTTGCTGTGCAGAGAGTCATGGTTTAAAATATATTTGTTGTTATACTCGTAGCATAGGCGTAGGGGTCTCTTTAGAGGGGGTGACCTACATATATACATCTATAACCTGACATGTTTTAATTTTTGTTTGGAAATAGCCTGGTAGCCAGCTAGTACTCGTAAAGTGCTATGGTATATATATATATAGAGGATCATCACCCTTCACTGATTAGCCAAACTGGGAGAGAGTACATTATTAGAACTGGGTAAACAAATACAATATACGATCCGATATATGATCCGATCGTATACTCCGCTTATACATCTACTATTATCTTAATGCTTTTATACGAATAATGAAGCCTAAAAGTATAATACAGCAGCTAATGCGAATCAGAAGTTGGGAGATATATTCCATTTTTATTAAACAGTTAATTTGTTTTTAGTCCGATCTACGATTACAACTACAATTGAAATCCTTGGTCAGGAAGCGTCTGTCTGTACACTAAAAAGACTCTTACACAAGAACATATAAAATATCACATACACAACAAGCGATGACAGATTCCGCCGATTAGTCCCTCTTGGGCTTTGCGGAAGATTTAGAGCCGCAGCAGCGTCGAATGAGGGCCAGCCAACTGCCGATGATAATGGCCAGGATAAGAGCCACGACCGCATAGCAGTCGAGGGAGTAGTAAACGAAGCGGGACATATGCACGGCGCTGGGCTGGAGCAGGGGAGCACCGCCAGTGTGAGCCACATGCTCCACCCACCACAAGGCCGTCTGCAGAGCCTGCTGCGGGCGATGGTTGTACGAATGGGAGACGGCCTTGGCGGCATCGTAATATCTAAGAAAGGATAAGGAGAAATCCAGTTAGGAAGAGACACAGAGATAGTCCATTGTGGCAATACTCACTTTTTGTCCAATGCCTTTTTCAGGGCACGTATTACGCTGTTCTCCCCGATTTCCTCGTAGTTCAAGATCGTGGCCATTCCACGCTGAACCAAGGCGGCGGTGTTCACAAACTGATCGCCATACATGGGTGTGGCCACGACGGGTACACCGCAGTAGGCCGCCTCCGAGGTGCCCATGAGACCGCCATGGGACATAAAGACTTTGACATTGGGATGGCACAGGATATCGCGCTGTGGGAGCCACTTCATGATGTGCATATTGGCGGGTTGGTTCGGCAGCGTCTCGTTCTCCCATTTCCAGATGACCTGTTGCTTCAGGCGTGCCGCGGCCCGTACGATGCCATCCCGCTTGGCAGCGGACAGGGAATTGGCGCGTATCATGGAGCCCCAACTAATGAGAATCACCCCATGCTCGGCGTTGTCCAGGAGCCGCTGCAGATCCGCGGGCAAGGGCTTCGACTTTTGTATGTGTATGCCGCCCAGCTCGATCACGTTGGGGGGCAATGGCTTGGGTCCACTCAGGGAGTAGTGTTGGTTCACGAAGAACAAAGAGGTATTCTTGGCCAGCTCACCCACGGAGGGAACCATGTGGCCAAACTTGTATTGCACCATCTTATCGGCAGCGGGTACGGAGAGTAATCTGAAAGGATGAGTTATAGAAATACTTTCTCAGACAATGACGTGGGGTCTCATCCTACTTGTACATCCAGTTGAGGGCATGGAAACTGAACCAATTGGCCAGCCGTCCCCCAAAATTCATGTCCTGCGACTGGGCCATGAACAAGTTCGGTATGTGGGAGGGTATTATCGGAGCACCCATTCTCTCATAGTGCCAGGGCATCATGACGCAGCTGCTCAAAGCTATCACCGGCGCATGCAGCTGGTGGGCCACTCCCATCATGCAGTCCGTGTTGAACTGCTCCATTATGATCACATCAAAGTAGCCCTGCCTCCGCTTGAGGATCTGCTGCAGTGCGTCCGAGCGGAGAGTGAAGTTGCAGGCCTGCCTCCCCCAATCGTACAGTAGGAAGAACTCCTGGAAGTGACTGTAGAAAGTGCGTTTCTCAAAGACCTAAAAGGGCGAGACCCCAATGATCAATGAATTCCGTACTTCTTCGATGGCCTTACCTTCAGATCCACGCTGTTTGTGAGCTTGTCAATCCCTGTTAGAGGGTAATCCTTGTAGTGTACGGCCGGATGTTTGTCCGGAAAGTGTGAGACCACACTGACATCATGTCCCGCCTCGGCCAGACCCCGCATGATGGGATGGAAGAAGTGGAAGTGACTGACGCCGGGATGGGGAAAGAGACCCAATATCTTTAGCGGGGGACCGGCATTGACCTCGACCCCGGTATGGCCCAGGGTCAGCCCCAACAGCACTACGGTGAGCAGCGACGAACACATGTTTCTACGAGTAATTCGAAAAAACGGAACACTTTTAGATATCGACACTTGTTGCCTTTGGTTTGGGTTGGGCTCTGTGCTCTGTATTTTCGTCTGACCTTGGGGTTAGGCGAACACTAAGCGAATACGAATACGAATACAAATTGTTGTAAAGAAAATTATGTAAAGAATGTACGGCGAAAGCACAAAAAAGAAAACACAACAAAAGCCATGGCGCATTGCATCACAGTTTCTGGCTGTCTGGGTGGGACGTTAATTGAATTTGTTACACGATTTACAAGTTATATTTATGGCAGCAGGGAACTCTTCCACCAAAATCAATCACTATTCACTGGATACACAAACACACGCCGAAGGTGCATGCCGCATGGAGGCTCCTTGAAGCTCCCCCCCTCCCCCTTCTGAGAGACCAATGCTTACTTTTGTTGGGATGTCGGCGAGCGACTGACAGAACGGGAAGCAATGCAGAGCAGCCGACGGGGAAGCCAAAACGAAAGCTCGGTCAACGAACGAAAAGAAAACGAAAAATGTGCTGTGTGAGCGATCCGAACCGAATATTGTGCGTCGTCGTCGTTGTCTTTGGCGGAAGCTCTCTCTCTCTATCTCTCTTTGCCTCGCTATCATTACAGGAAAGCACGATTTCGATCTGGACAACAGGAGAGCGTGCGACCAGGAGAGCTTGGAAGTTGAATGCCGAACACAATGAGAGAGAACGGGAGCAGGCAGAGCACCTTGAGCACGAGACTAAACGACAGTAGAAAGCTAATAAAACGCTACATCATTGAAGTTCGTCTTACGATCGTTTATCAGTCATTGCTCACATGTTCGTTGACGTTCCAGACGCTCTCAATGATTACGTTCGAATGTTTACTCTTAATTAAGATTGGATTGTTTGTCATATGTGTGTTCCACGTAACGCTGGAGTGAAAGAGAGCTTAGTAACTGGACTTAGTAACAGCAAACATGACCAAGACTAGAGTTTACGTTATCGGCGTGGGCATGACCAAGGTACGCCCGCTGAAGTTTGACCTTTGTGCTGTCTTTCATTTTATCATTATTCTTGTGTATCTCTTCTTAGTTCGAAAAGCCCGGCCGTCGTGCTGATGTCTGCTATCCGGACTTTGCCAAGGAGGCCATCACCAAGGCTCTGCAGGACGCCAATATCAAGTACGAGGAGGTGCAGCAGGCTGTGGCCGGTTACGTCTATGGAGACTCCACCTGCGGCCAGCGTGCTGTCTATGAGGTCGGAATGACCGGCATTCCCGTCTACAATGTGAACAACAACTGCTCCACAGGATCTAGCGCCCTCTACTTGGCCAAGCAGATCATCGAGTCTGGAACCTCCGACTGTGTGCTGGCTCTGGGCTTCGAGAAGATGGAGCGTGGCTCTCTGGCGTCAAAGGTAGGAAATCCGTCTGCTTGGAATTATACTTAAACGAATCTTGTTATCGCCTGTGTTAATATACCAACAGTACTTTGACCGCGCCAACCCCATGGAGCGTCACATCACCGAGATGGGAGAGCTTACCGAAATTGGACCTGGACCCATGGCTGCCCAGATCTTCGGCAATGCTGGCAAGGAGCACATGAAGAAGTACGGTACCAAGCCCGAACACTTCGGCAAGATCGCCTGGAAGAACCACAAGCACTCCGTCAATAATCCGTAAGTTCAGTCGAAAGTTCACTTGCCACCAGCTTATCTTATCGCCGAGAGCCTCCGACCATCATCATCAGTCCACTCCATTGCCTGCATTCAGTCGGGAGACCGACCTATACACGCGTTTCTTTTATCTGTCGGACTCTATTGGTTCCAGCTACTCGCAGTTCCGCGATGAATACACTCTGGAGCAGATTATGAAGTCTCCGCAGGTGGTCGAGGGAGTGCTGACCAAACTGCAGTGCTGCCCCACCTCTGACGGCTCTGGTGCTGCTATTCTGGCCTCCGAGCAGTTTGTGCGTCGCCATGGCTTGGAGAAGCAGGCTGTGGAGATCGTGGGCATGGAAATGGCCAGCGATCCAGCATCTACCTTCGCGGACAAGAGTCTGATGAAGATCGCCGGCTACGATATGACGGCTCTGGCTAGTCAACGTCTTTTTGCCAAGAGCGGATACAAGCCACAGGATGTGCAGGTGGTGGAGCTGCACGATTGCTTCTCCGCCAACGAGCTGGTGACCTACGAGGCCCTGGGCTTGTGCGGCGAGGGCAAGGCTGGCGAGTTCATCGATCGCGGAGACAACACATACGGCGGCAAGTTCGTGGTGAACCCCAGCGGTGGACTAATTTCGAAGGGCCATCCCCTGGGAGCCACTGGCCTGGCCCAGTGTGCTGAATTGTGCTGGCAGCTGCGTGGACTGGCTGAGAAGCGACAGGTGAATGGCGCCAAGCTGGCGTTGCAGCACAATCTGGGTCTGGGCGGAGCTGTAGTTGTGGCTCTCTATCGCCTGGGCTTCCCGGGAGCAGCCAAGGCAAAGTTGTAAATGGGATTGGATTTTGTACATATTTACTATTAAACGTGAACTCTTTTATAATCTTACAATCTTTTTCCAATCTCCAGTCTACTCGAAGATTAGATTATACAATGGTTTTACTTGCGTTTCAGCTTGGTGGCTGCCTTTCCACCTCTGCAAATCCGGCGTAATCCTACGCAGGCAATGAACAGGAGAAGTAGAACAGAGATTGCCACCAAGTAGACATCCAGCGAGTAGTAGACAAACCGGGAGAGATGCACGGCGCTGGGTTGGATGAGAGGTGCTCCTTTGGTCTCGGCGACATGCTCCACCCACCAGATGGCCGTTTCCAGAGGAGGCTGCACTCGGCTGTTATACGCGGAGGCCACGGCCAGGGCCTTGGCCTTGAAGGAGGGATCCAGCGCTTTCGTGAGTGTCTCATAGACTGTCTTCTCGCTGAGCTTATGGAAGTCCAGACGCAGGGCCATGCCCCGCTGCACCAGAGATTCGATGTTCAGTGACTGATCGCCATACATGGGCATGCCCACAATGGGTATGCCGCTGGACACAGCCTCCGAGGTGCCCATGAGGCCGCCGTGGGACAGAAATAGCTTAACATTGGGATGGGCGAATATGTCGCGCTGTGGCAGCCACTTCAAGATGTGCAGATTGTCGGGCTTGTTGGGCAGCGTATCGTTCTCCCACTTCCAGATGACCTGCTGCTCCAGACGGCCAATGGCACGTACCATGCCATCTCTCTTCGCCTCGGACAAGGAACTGGCACGCAGCTGAGAGCCCCAGCTGATGAGGATTACGCCTTTGGTGGCCTTATTAAGCAGCTGCTGGAGATCATCGGGCAAGGGCTGGGCGGGCTTCAGGTGCACTCCGCCCACTTCAATGATGTTCGGAGGCAGAGGCTTGGGTCCACTCAGCGAGAAGTGCTGGTTGAGTAGCATCAGGGAGGTATTTCTCACCATCGCTTGGGTGGAAGGCAGCCCAGGACCGAATTTCTGGCGTATCAAGGCATCGGCAGCGGAAAAACTGAACATTCGGTAGAGCATATTAATCGAATGCACTGTGATCCAATTACCCAATCGACCGGCAAACGACATCTCCTGCGACTGACCCATGAAGAGGGCCGAGATATACGAAGGGATCAACGGAGCGCCCATTCTCTCATAGTGCCAGGGCATCAGAGCACAGCTGCTCATGCCAATCACCGGCGCCTGCAGCACATGCGCCACACTCATCAGGCAGTCCGTGTTGAAGTGCTCCGTCAGGATCACATCATAGTAGCCAGGAGGATGCTTAAGGATCCTTGCCAATGCCTCACTGTTCAGGGTGGTGTTGCAGGCCTCTTTGCCGGCGACGTAGAGCATGTAGAACTCTGCGTAGTGGAACAGAAATGGTAACGGCCGCTCGAATTCCTATAGAAAGTGTATACCTTTAGTATAATTGAATTTCAAAGACATTTGACCTACCGTCAGTGGAATGGCATCCGACAAGTTGGAAGATGGCAGCAGATAGTCCGTATATCCAGAGGGAGGTTCCTTATCCGGAAAGGGACTCAAAACATCCACACTGTGGCCCGCCTCGGCCAGTCCCCGCATAATCGGGTGAAAGAATTTGAAGTGGCTAATCGATGGATGGGCAAACATGCCTAAGATCTTTAGAGAGCTGGCCGTACCAGTTAGGGATATCACCGCCAGCAGCGAAAGCCACTTGTAGACCTGATTATCACTCATTTTTGCTGTGCGACGGAATAGATTTGTGATCATTATCAATATTAAGTATAAATGTGCTTGTGTAAAGTGCAATTATTAGTTTGTATGTGTGTGTCAGATCCTAATCTAAAATTAACAATTAGAAATTGCCACGTTTCTTTTTAATTAGAAAATAACACAAATAAACTCACCAGCTTTGTTTTTAGACCTCACGGGGACAGATCCGTCGCTGGCAAAAGATGAGCGTCAACTGATGAATGAGTCCCCATAAAGGGGACCCCAAAAGAAGAGAACTTTACAAAATGCAAAGTGTTCACTAGCCTCTACCTGTTTCTCTCTTTCCCTATTTGCTGAGCAGAGAGTCATGGTTTAAAATATATTTGTTGTTATACTCATAGCATAGGCGTAGGGGTCTCTTTAGAAGGGGTGACCTACATATGTACATCTATAACCTGATATGTATTAATTTTTGTTTGGAAATAGCCTGGTAGCCAGAGATATATAGAGAGGATCATCACCCTTCACTGATTAGCCACACTGGGAGAGAGTACATTATTAGAACTGGGTAAACAAATACAATATACGATCCGATATATGATCCGATCGTATACTCCGCTTATACATCTACTATTATCTTAATGTTTTTGTACAAATAATGAAGCCTAAAAGTATAATACAGCAGCTAATGCGAATCAGAAGTTATTAATAAATATAGTATTGGGAGATATATTCCAATTTTATTAAACAGTTAATTTGTTTTTAGTCCGATCTACGATTACAACTACAATTGAAATCCTTGGTCAGGAAGCGTCTGTCTGTACACTAAAAAGACTCTTACACAAGAACATATAAAATATCACATACACAACAAGCGATGACAGATTCCGCCGATTAGTCCCTCTTGGGCTTTGCGGAAGATTTAGAGCCGCAGCAGCGTCGAATGAGGGCCAGCCAACTGCCGATTATAATGGCCAGGATAAGAGCCACGACCGCATAGCAGTCGAGGGAGTAGTAAACGAAGCGGGACATATGCACGGCGCTGGGCTGGAGCAGGGGAGCACCGCCAGTGTGAGCCACATGCTCCACCCACCACAAGGCCGTCTGCAGAGCCTGCTGCGGGCGATGGTTGTACGATTGGGAGACGGCCTTGGCGGCATCGTAATATCTAAGAAAGGATAAGGAGAAATCCAGTTAGGAAGAGACACAGAGACAGTCCATTGTGTCCATACTCACTTTTTGTCCAATGCCTTTTTCAGGGCACGTATCACGCTGTTCTCCCCGATTTCCTCGTAGTTCAAGATCGTGGCCATTCCACGCTGAACCAAGGCGGCGGTGTTCACAAACTGATCGCCATACATGGGTGTGGCCACGACGGGTACACCGCAGTAGGCCGCCTCCGAGGTGCCCATGAGACCGCCATGGGACATAAAGACTTTGACATTGGGATGGCACAGGATATCGCGCTGTGGGAGCCACTTCATGATGTGCATATTGGCGGGTTGGTTCGGCAGCGTCTCGTTCTCCCATTTCCAGATGACCTGTTGCTTCAGGCGTGCCGCGGCCCGTACGATGCCATCCCGCTTGGCAGCGGACAGGGAATTGGCGCGTATCATGGAGCCCCAACTAATGAGAATCACCCCATGCTCGGCGTTGTCCAGGAGCCGCTGCAGATCCGCGGGCAAGGGCTTTGACTTTTGTATATGTATGCCGCCCAGCTCGATCACGTTGGGGGGCAGTGGCTTGGGTCCACTCAGGGAGTAGTGCTGGTTCACGAAGAACAAAGAGGTATTCTTGGCCAGCTCACCCACGGAGGGAACCATGTGGCCAAACTTGTATTGCACCATCTTATCGGCAGCGGGTACGGAGAGTAATCTGAAAGGATGAGTTTTAGAAATACTTTCTCAGACAATGACGCGGGGTCTCATCCTACTTGTACATCCAGTTGAGGGCATGGAAACTGAACCAATTGGCCAGCCGTCCCCCAAAATCCATGTCCTGCGACTGGGCCATGAACAAGTTCGGTATGTGGGAGGGTATTATCGGAGCACCCATTCTCTCATAGTGCCAGGGCATCATGACGCAGCTGCTCAAAGCTATCACCGGCGCATGCAGCTGGTGGGCCACTCCCATCATGCAGTCCGTGTTGAACTGCTCCATTATGATCACATCAAAGTAGCCCTGCCTCCGCTTGAGGATCTGCTGCAGTGCGTCCGAGCGGAGAGTGAAGTTGCAGGCCTGCCTCCCCCAATCGTACAGTAGGAAGAACTCCTGGAAGTGACTGTAGAAAGTGCGTTTCTCAAAGACCTAAAAGGGCGAGACCCCAATGATCAATGAATTCCGTACTTCTTCGATGGCCTTACCTTCAGATCCACGCTGTTTGTGAGCTTGTCAATCCCTGTTAGAGGGTAATCCTTGTAGTGTACGGCCGGATGTTTGTCCGGAAAGTGTGAGACCACACTGACATCATGTCCCGCCTCGGCCAGACCCCGCATGATGGGATGGAAGAAGTGGAAGTGACTGACGCCGGGATGGGGAAAGAGACCCAATATCTTTAGCGGGGGGCCGGCATTGACCTCGACCCCGGTATGGGCCAGGGTCAGCCCCAACAGCACTACGGTGAGCAGCGACGACGAACACATGTTTCTACGAGTAATTCGAAAAAACGGAACACTTTTAGATATCGACACTTGTTGCCTTTGGTTTGGGTTGGGCTCTGTGCTCTGTATTTTCGTCTGACCTTGGGGTTAGGCGAACACTTAGCGAATACGAATACGAATACAAATTGTTGTAAAGAAAATTATGTAAAGAATGTACGGCGAAAGCACAAAAAAGAAAACACAACAAAAGCCATGGCGCATTGCATCACAGTTTCTGGCTGTCTGGGTGGGACGTTAATTGAATTTGTTACACGATTTGCAAGTTTTATTTATGGCAACAGGGAACTCTTCCACCAAAATCAATCACTATTCACTGGATACACAAACACACGCCGAAGGTGCATGCCGCATGGAGGCTCCTTGAAGCTCCCCCCCTTCCCCTTCTGAGAGATCAATGCTTACTTGTTGGGATGTCGGCGAGCGACTGACAGAACGGGAAGCAATGCAGAGCAGCCGACGGGGAAGCCAAAACGAAAGCTCGGTCAACTAACGAAAAGAAAACGAAAAATGTGCTGTGTGAGCGATCCGAACCGAATATTGTGCGTCGTCGTCGTTGCCTTTGGCGGAAGCTCTCTCTCTCTATCTCTCTTTGCCTCGCTATCATTACAGGAAAGCACGATTTCGATCTGGACAACAGGAGAGCGTGCGACCAGGAGAGCTTGGAAGTTGAATGCCGAACACAATGAGAGAGAACGGGAGCAGGCAGAGCACCTTGAGCACGAGACTAAACGACAGTAGAAAGCTAATAAAACGCTACATCATTGAAGTTCGTCTTACGATCGTTTATCAGTCATTGCTCACATGTTCGTTGACGTTCCAGACGCTCTCAATGATTACGTTCGAATGTTTACTCTTAATTAAGATTGGATTGTTTGTCATATGTGTGTTCCACGTAACGCTGGAGTGAAAGAGAGCTTAGTAACTGGATGACATGTGCGTGTCTACGCATAAATTAGAAGTTCTTTCAGTTTGGTTGGATATTAAACGTAGTTCAAGGTTATGATTTTGAAAAGTTATATTTATGGTGAATCTACATTAATGATCGAAATGGGATACAACTATTTTAGAAAGAAGCTTTTTTTCTGGACAGGAAACGTTTCTATATCTATATTTCCTTAATACATACATATTGTGTTGTATATTATGTACATAAAATGTATATCTTGAACATTCTAGAGCTTTTCATTTTCATTTCAGGGGCTAAGATTGGTTCATTAAAATGTTACGAAACTAGATCAATGACCTTTTCTCATTGTCATTGTACTTTGTGTAAAGCTTGAAATGGAAATTGAAATCTATTTATTCTCAATATCAATTGTTATTAAATATTCAATACGGAAGCTTTGTTCTTTTGTTTTCGTGTGTTTTTAGCTACTCTAAAATATCAAATTTGGGTTATATACTTATATATAGCACCCAACAAGTTTATAGATCAAGAAACAGAGAAAGAAGCGATTGGATGATTAATGTATCTTTCGATTCAAAAGGGAAAGTTTTTTGTTTTTAGTAATTTGACACATGAGAGATGAACTTTGTGAGGTTTTGGATAATAAGTGTTTTATAGATCATTGATAATACATATTAAACGAGCTTATACTCTTTCCAAAGATAAGAAGATGGAATTATCAATGAATTTTAAATAAAGAGTGCCTATCATATACTATATAGTAGGCATGAATAATATGTTTTCATTAATTGATTTTATTGGACCTTTGTTTTCTTGTTTTTCACGACTTTCAATATACCCAAAGTTCGCCGTAAAAGTCTAACCAGCTGCCAGATGGTGATAAGTGGAATGGCAATGATTGCCAAACAGATCAGGTAAACATCAATGGAGTTGTAGACGAACCAGCTGATATGCCTGGCCCTGCCTTCGAGGAGCAGTCCGCCACGTGTATCGACGACATGTTCGATCCACCAAATGGCCAGCTCCAGGGGGGACTGGGGTCGTTCCCGGAATGCCCTTGCCGAGCGTCGAACATTATCGGAGAATCTGTAAACATTTATGGAGTCGGAGACTAAGATTACTGGCGAAGAATGGAAATGCGAGAGAAAAGAGTTTCTGGTTACCCTTTATCGAGTATGGTTTGGAGTCCCCTGGTTATGTGATGCTCATCGAAGTCGCCAAAGTCAACAATGACACCGAAGCCGCGCTGTGCCAAGGTACCGGCATTTAGAAACTGATCCCCGTAGAAGGGCGTCACCAGCATCGGAACGCCACAGTGTACCGCCTCCGTGGTGCCCAGGAGTCCGGCGTGCGAGATGAATGCCTTGACCCGGGGATGGCACAGCAGGTCACGTTGCGGCAGCCAATCGAAGGTGAAAAGATTGCCGGGCTTGTCGTGTGGCAACGGTTTCCCGCTCTTCCAGCGCATCAAAAAGGTGTAGTCCTTCATATGGGCAATGCTCTTGAACAGAGCTCGACGCTTATGATCCGGCAGCGAGCTTGGATCGACCATGGAACCCCAACTGATGTATATGACACCGGATAGAGAATCCTCCATGATCTTGTTCAGTACCTAAAAGAAGCGAATGGTAGATGAGGAATCTTTGGGTGGCTTTACCCACCGGTGTCAGGGGTTTCTTGGGACCTATGTGCAATCCGCCCACTTCCACAACATTGGGAGCATACGGACGCAGACCAGTCAGGGCGTAATGCTGGTTAATCAGCATCAGGCTGGTGTTCTTCACAATCTCGTTGACGGGCGGCAGTCCGAAGCCGAATCTCTGGCTTATCAACTCATCTGTGGCTGGTTGGGTAATCCATCTGGGGGAGAGAGAGAAAGTAGAGATAACTTTGTAGGTCAGGGTGGATTCCGCTACTCACTCGTACAAAATGTTGACTGTGTGGAAATGGATGAAATTATTCAGACGATCGACCAGCCCCATCTCATCCGTGTAGGTCAGAAAGTTCATGGGCATAATCGGGTTGATATGGGGTGTGCCCATGCGCTTATAGTGCCAGGGCATGATGGCACAGCTGCTGAGAGCGATCACCGGTGCATTCAGCAGATGCGCCACTGCGGTCATGCAGTCATTGGCAAAGTGCTCCAGGATGATCAGATCGTAGCGCAGCGGAGAACTGAGCAGATCGGCGATCAGAGACGAGTTCAGGGCCGCATCGCAGAAGCGCATGCCCCAATTGTGGAGCATGAAGTAGGTGGGTATCTTGTAGGGCAGACCCCAGGGCTTCCACTCGGTTTTTTCGAATTCCTTGAGGGCAAAACTATGTAGCTTCTCTTTGATCCTCTCCTCTCTGCAGTCGTACCTACCATCAGATCAATGACGTCCGTCAGCAGTGGCGATCCCTTAAAGGTATAGTCCGTATAGTTGGCCATCGGTTGATCCAGCGGAAAGTAGCTGTACATGCTGATGTTGTGGCCACGTCTGGCCAGGTCCATGAATATCGGTCGAAAGAACTCAAAGTGGCTCTTGCCCGGATGTGCGAACAGGCCCAGTATTTCAGCGGCTTCGCTGGGTATCGCAGGCATCAGCAGCAGCACCCCCAGAAATGCCATCGTGGTCCGGCGCCACCTGAACCTGAAGCCCCACAAAAGATCAAAGTTAACTGAGTGGAAACAAAGGCCTGGAGATACATTTGTATCTGCAGCGGCAGCAGCGACGCCGTCTGACTGCACTTGCAGCTTAAATGCTTTTGTCTAAGTATATATGCTAAGATCGTGACCGGAATTTAGCTGGCAATTGTTTTTGGCCAGACCTGGACCACTTGGCAGGGGATTTTGTCGACACAAGCGTTTACCACACAATGTTGCGGCCATTAAGAGGTGTCCGCCCAAACGATATAATTATGGGTTTCAAAAAGTGCTTAAAGACAATTTGTCAGCGACGTTGTAGGCCAATCTATCTCCATCTTGTAATAGATCTTTATTGTCTATGGTAATAGGTCTTTGATTTATGTGTTCTAGATATTTTAGTATCTAATATGGAAAGTAATAGAGTCTGAGGGGAGTCTGAAGAAGAAGAAGAAGGAACACTGTGGAAGCACTCCCTATTGATACCCAGAAAAGTGTAAGATATCTGTATATTTTCTCTTGCATGATCAGATCTTGCCACACCCGATAGTTTATGTCGTTAATTCCTTCAACTTTGTATGTTTCTTGATATAAAACTTGATACAGCAATTACACATCGAGCTTGCGGATTGAAATGTGTCTTAGATTTATGTCCCTGAAGATTTTACGACACTTGGTACTGACATCGCCGAGTTCCTTTTTCTATCCATGATTATAGAAGTTCAACTTGTTAAAGCCACGATCCGCGAGCAACTGAAAGCAAAAAAACGTTGCAACTGCAACGGCCACAGCCATGGCTCAGGCGCGAATCAGAGGCTGCTGCTGCCCTGTTGCAGTTTCGCATTTCCAACGGCAACAGAGTCTCATATGAACACACATATGCACAAACGAACCCGACCTCACCTAACCGTTCCATCAGATCAGTGCCATGCCAGTCATGAGCAATTTGCGGTGCGCCATTAGATTGCCCAATCGAGTACTTGGATGCGACCAAAGGGAGAGCTAAAGGCTGATGAATATGCAAATTATATAAACGAAAATATAAACACGATGATGGAGTAGGTCTGCCTTCAGTTCAAATAAATACAGTAGTAAGTAATAGTAATGGTAATAGGAGGTAAGAACAATGGAAAATATTCATTAGGAGTTTATACAGAATTTACTGTTGATCAATAATCCATAATGAATGATCGTTAATGAAATGATATTGGTATGGGTTCCAATCTTAGCGCAAGGTAGATCATATACTATAATGATAAGTTCTGGAATATCTAAAAGAATTTGAATTAAAATGTAAAATTAGTGATCTTTAACATGTAGATGTAGATACACTATGCGCCCTTCTGATGTCAAATGTAGAATCTTGTTGGCTTTCCAAGAATTCGACATGTGTAATATACACATACCTGTCGATCATGTAATTCTACATATTGTATGGTGTAGTTAGCATGGCATACTTTCAGACGTCGGGTCATACACTGGAGTCCCAGATATTGGAACAGCAAAGGTCTGTTTTCTTCAGAATAAAGTATAAAGAACTAGCTACTAATTTAGTCAGTTCTTTAATAAGTGTAGATGGATCTTGGCGTGAACAATGTGATATATTTTTCCTTTTCCTATGTTTCCTATGCTCCAAAGTCCCATTTCTATTTCCCAACAGCAATCAGGAACTGCTTTCGGAACTCCCATAAAGTATACCTAATGGACAGCACTCCTCACTCCGACTGTCGTCGAAGATTCGACATGCCTCTCCATCTCCACAGTCACTCCGTTTGAGTACTTTGAATTTTGCTAATTAAAATTCACTTCTGACAATAATCGTAATTTCTGAGATACTAATTTCAGAATGTTGCACCATATAAAATATCTTCCAAATGGTGGCCGTCGTTAAAATTTAGGGAAAATAATAAGCAAAAATTTTCACGTCTCGCCTAATTAGCGCAGCAGTCACAACAGAGAAACAGAAACGGAAAGAACTTTTCCGACTTCTCCGACTTTTCCGACTGGACGCTGGCTGGGCTCACGTCAACAGCTGTCGTTGCTGGAAACAGGGGGGCAGGCATGATGAGGGGGTTGAAAGTCCATGTCCGCTCCCAAGGAGCGTGTGTTTTAATATTTGCGTCACGTCATTAAAAGTGTGACTTAATTGTGAACAATTCACAAGTGAAAAGTGAAAAGTGAAAATTTACGACAGATTATCAAATCAAGTGTGAAGAAAGACTAGGAAAAGTCGCTGGAGACGTTTCACAATTTTCCGGGCAGCATCAACAGATGTGTTTCCCTCAGCATTTTCAAGGTGTTGCCATTGGCGCAATCGATAAGCATCGGGGAAGTTTGGAACAAGAAGTAAATGAAAGAGCTGCAGACCGATGTTCTAGATACTCTTTGGAGTGGAATCTTGGAGTCGTCTGTCCCAAAGTTTCGGATAGATATCGACACTGAAAAGATATACTACTCGTACATGGATTGAAAGTCCTGGAAATCCTTTGGCAAAACTCATATACCCCCTGCAAGAGTACTCCCAACTTTTCCTTTTCCAAAAAGGCATAACATTTTCCGGTATCAATTTATTTTAACGTCTTGACATTTAAGCTCTGCCTTTCACTCTCTTTTTGGCCATTTATTTCGATGGCAATAAAATGGAATTTAAAATGATAGGAAATCTTATTGAAAATTCACAGATAAGCGCTCCCAAAAAAGGGTTACCGAATGCGGCGCGTGTCCGTTTCAAATTGGGGGCGGGGCGCCCTGGCCAATGCCATTTTCCAGTCATTTACATTTAATAGAAGCGCATGAGAAAGATAAGCGAGTGTGTGTGGAAGGGAAAGGAGAGAGCGCATGCGAATGTGTGAAATTTATAACAAATCAATAAAATGACAATAGGTGCAAACTTTATCGACACGACACGACCCCATCGGAGGGCGGGGACTGACGTCGTTCCATTGATAGTCGCACGGATTGGGATTTGTCGGCAGAGACTGCGGACTCCGGACTCCGGACTCCGGACGACGAGTGGAAGAGGTCGACACCAAATCAAAATGAAAACTTTTCGATAAGCAATTTTTCGCACGGAAGTGCAATTTGAAGTGAATGCCTCGTATCCGTATCGTATCGTATCCCAGTCCTTTTTCGACTTCGGGCCAATGCGGAAATTATACAAAGAAAGTTTCTAATACATTTGTTACCGCCTTACCAGTCAATCGCTCTCTGTCGCTGGTCCTAGGGGCATAAGGGATTTTGTGAGGGGGTTTTTGGGTGGTGCCTGTACAGAACTTTGGCGTCAGATAGTTGAGCGGAAGTGTGGAAGGGGGTTTGTCTGACGAAAAGCCTAAGAAAGTTGAGGTTAGGCGAAGAATAAAGGGGAAGTTGCCTCGCGAATCCTAGGAATAGCGATAGTTAGTACAATTTGCACTCTAAATACATATATTTTACTTATGTTATTCGCATGTAGGAACATCTCTTTCAATTTCACCCCTTAACCACTTTCACGCACAAATTAAAGGTGCGAACAATGGGGGTGCGTGTTTGTCTACCCTGCCATACGCCCCACATTTTCCTCTTAAGCCCGGCTCTTACATACAGGTGTCTTTAATTGACAGGGCCAAACTATTTATGGCCAAGTCACGTGATCTATAAACGTGGGACGGCAAGTGGAAGACAGGAAGTGATACGAACACCTCCTCCAATCACAATCACCCTTGGCCCCACTCCACTCCACTCCACTCCCCTCCCTTTTGGCTGTGATTTAAGCGGCTTTACGGGTCCTGCGACTTCGCCTTCGCCTCCGACTAGAGCTCTAGCCGCCAGGTGTCGCGCGTCTTCGTGTATTGTGAATATATCGATTAACAAAGTTTGGAGCACAGAAGCCATGGGTGTATGTGTGTGTGTGTGGGGGGGTGGGGGTGGGGGGAGGGGTTGCTTTAGCTATTTCCGTGACAGTAATCAATTTATTTTTGGCAGTGCGCCGATTGCGTTTCCGCTTCAAGAACATGGAACGTCTGCTCCTGTTGCAACTTTTGCCCCATCTCTCTCTCTCCCTCTCTCTCTTTCAGTCTGTGTATCTCCCCTCTCTCTTGCCCTCAATCTTTCTCTCTTGTCTGCTTTGGAAACGTTTCATTTCGTTTTGGCTTTTGGCATAGCGATTTCCGCCCGAAAATGTCGATAAATCATCAAAACGAAGCAGCAAAAGGAAGAAGGCTGATAGAGAGAGAGAGAGAGAAAGAGAGCGCTATAGGTAGATGCAGATCCTTTCAGGATGTTGGCGTGATAGATAAGTTGACAGCACAATTGAAGGGTTTAGCGCTGGGACTCTGGAACTCTGGGACTTTGCGACTCTGTCTCTTAATCAATCTTCTTGGGCTTCTTCTTTTCGGCTTTTGGCAATTAATTAATTTGCAGGAAAATAAAGTTGACGGCACGTGACCAGGACATGCCATATAAAGGATAATATCTCCTTTAAACAATTTCACTCTAAAGGTCCACCATCGGCAGAAGAGCACTTTGGACCACGCGGCTGGAAGTCGAGTTCCTTTTAGGGTCAAGTGCTGGAATTGATGTTTCGTTTATGATTTATCGTCACTTACTGCCCCGTCATCGTCCCTTCTTCCCTACCCCACCCACTCGACCCCTAATGGTCGTCATATTGCACAATGCAAAAACAGAAGCTAAATTAGACATTATATATATCCGGCAGAGAGAGAGAGAGAGAGGGGGAGAGGGAGAGAGAGTGTCCGAGGGGTTCCATGCCGTTTCGGAGTTGTCCTCGTCGTCATGCTGTCATAATCATCACAAGACAGCATCCATCCATCGCCCGTTTTGCAACGCCCACATGTGGCACCACCACCCAATCCCCCCCCTCGCTCTCTAGACCTCTGCTGCCTGGCATTTACTGATGTAATAACCATGTTTTCAGCTTGTAATGCGGCAGGGGAACAGGGGTACAGGGCAACGGGGAAACACTTTGCGGGGGTGAAAGTAAAAGTCAAGTTCCCAAGTTCTTGGATGAGCGAATGGATGGATGGGATGGGGGTGCCATGGGTGGCAGCGGGTGAGAGTTTGGGTCATGGGTCGAGGGTCGAGGGTGGTCCGAGGGTTGCCTTTTGTGTGTGCTGCGCTACTTTTCAATTGTTTTTGATGTTAAATGTGTGATAATTTAATGACTGTCGACGCCCGACGACGATGGACGACCCACCCAAGCGACAGGATCTTCCCCGTCTAAAACGGAGTGTCCTACGGCTCAATCCACTTTCGAAACGCTCAGCGTTTAATTTACTGGAATAATAAAAATGTTTTTGGGGCATTAAAATCTGTGGCTGGCGATGATTTGTGCGCTTTCGATGTAACAGATTGTCTTTTAATGGGGGTGGGGTAATATCCGGCTTTCGGTGGGGTGGCCGGTGGCTTCTGCATGATTCGCAGTCCAAAGTCCTTCCGGTCTGTGGGAATTTTCATCTGCCTGCGGTGCCCGGGCCCGGGCCCGGGCCTGGCAACACTTTAGTCATCCATCGCTTCTGTTTCAAACTATTTTAATGATCCAACAGCTGATCCGCTTGGAAACCAGTTCAGATCGGTGCCTATGCTATTATTTGCATACCCGTCCAGCGATTATCATTAAGAGCTGGGCCCAGTACTCAGGTGTTTGAGAGGTTTTCCTCCTCTTTGGAATTTGTAGGGGGACAGAGTTTTCGGGGGAATGCCTCAAAGGTCTCGTTGTGGTACAGATGGTATACAATTTGGAAAGTTCCAGAACATCTTGTTGCGATTTCATACAGTCATCATTAAAGATCTACAATTTTTTCTCTAGAAGAAATATATACAACTCTTTCCAAAAGAAAACCTATATTTTCTGTAACTCATGGAATGATAGTTTAAGGCAAACTCTATAAAAGCTATGATACTCTCTCTTGAAATATACTCTCACATTAGATTTATCTGTATTCCATAAGATTTAATTTATTCCATAATTCCCACCACATCGCTAGTGCCTGTGCACTGACCCAATGACCGACTTTATGGAAGTCCTTCCTTGTTCTAGAACTATATCAACTAGAAGCCACATTTTCTTTGCAGAACATTCCATTCTTTAGTTCCAAAAAACGCCCAGTCCAAAGTCCACAAACCAAGGCTCAAACCCATCCAAAAACTAATGAAGATTTATGCAAATGTTAAAGCTTTTGATTCTGCGCTAATGTGAAAATATGGCGCCTGAATGGAAAAAAACCGAATATCAAATGTGCGAAATATAATCGTACAAATCCAACGAAACATTTGCATGTGACAAAGTGAGGCAGACAGACGGCAGCCAGCCGCAAACAATGAAAAATGACGACGACGACGACGACGAGGAGGAGGAGGAGGGCTTAGGCTTGGTGCGGCCTGGTGTGGCGCCTCGCGATGTAATTTAATTTGGCAAAAACGGAAAATCTGCGAGGCCACGTGGCTGCGATTTATGAAACGGAACGTAATTAATTTTTTTGTGCAAATTTGTGTATAAATTTATTTATAACAAATGTTGGCCAAATGATTGGTCTCTCCGCATCCGTCAGCAGAAGTGCAGGGCATTGAACTGCTCCCGATTGTTGCTGATCATGTTGTTGTACTTGAAGGCCGCCGCCGCCGCCGTCGCCGCCTGGTGTCCGCCGTGGACAGTGAGCCTGCTGCTGCTGCCGTTGTTGTTGTTGTGGCGCAGGAAACTGTCCGCCGGACTGCTGGAAACGGCATACTTTCCGCCCAGAGCGTCCCCGTTTCGCATGGGGCTCAGGTGCTTGGCCGGGATGGCCTTGCTGGGCGTACGAGTCTGGTGAACCATCTTGTCGAGGGGGTTTTTCAAATTGGAGCACAGATGAGCTGGTCTTTTAGCGGGGATTCAGGGCACACTGGACAGGCGAGTGAGCACGGAGAATTCCAGACAATTGCCGCAGTTGCTAGTGCGAGAGCCGCCTTTCTTCGAAGACAGATGCTTGGAGAGACTACAACGAGAAACAGAGAAGGGGAGGGGTTATAGTTTAAGCTGGGTTATAGGTTAAGCGGGGTCTCACCTAATATTATTGAGTAGCTTCGCTTTGGTGTCCGGTGTCTTCATTGACACATCTGTTGCTGTACGTTTGGGTGAATTTTGGATAAGATCTGTGTAAAGATTCGACTGCGAAAGCTCCACGAATTGGTGTGTTCGTAGGCGACGTGTGTGCTCCGCTTTTATACGGCCGATACACCCCGATCATCACGCGGCCGGAGCGTGCTTCCGAAACTAGTTTCGACCGTCAGAGACATTCGTTGTTTGCAAAACCCCTGGCCAGACATGCGCCCAATTTCTTGTTTACGCCACAAGAGTTTTGCGTCAATGAAACGGGCCCACTTGCCACGCGGTCAGACGCCATAGAGAGACACCCGTAAAGAGCACACTCATTGATGGCCCAAACAATAACAAATAAAATGCAGGGGACTTCCACATAGCAGGGTACTTTCCCCAAAGGATAAACAGGGGGAAATGCCGAATGCCTTGGCATTCGCCTTTGAAACATTCGCCACAAAGTGCTCATCTTCCACATCGGTTTAGGCCTTATATAAACTTTCCACAGGGATCTCTGAACGTCTTTCTAATGCGATCTCTGAAACCTGTCTTTTGGCTTTCTTTCTGAATGTCTGGCCACGTTTTTTAATTAGTTAGCCATGTGTCTGGATCAGCGGAATATTTTTCGGCAGACATATAAATATTGCGGCTATATAAGATTCCAGTCCGGTGCAACGTTTGACATTTAAAGGTGCCGGCTTAGACGGTCAAAGTCCGCACATATAGGGGTCTGGAATCCTAGCTGGTTCGACTTGTTTTAGGGGTTTTCAAAGGGGTTTAGAGATAGGGAATAGCCTTTTATTTTGAGAGAGAGAGGGATCATGAGACTTTTGGGAATCTGTAGATATAAGATCAAGAAAACATAATCCGAAAGGACTTTTAGAAGGGAGTATAGATCCTCCTCTATCCCATCCGAGTGCCCAAACTTATTCCACCCTTCTTGTGCTTGCTCTTACTTCCCCCCAAACATCATATAGATTCCAGCATAACTCAGATCGGTTGTCTATATAGGTAAACAACAACAGATTAAAATACTATAAACTGGCAACTGGCTTTCGAGCTGTCTCGAATTGGCTGATGCAATGCAGGGGAGACTTTTCATAAGAAATTTCTGTGTCGCATGATCAGCCCATCTACATATTCATTATACATATATTCATAAGCAGCTATCTGCATAGAAACGCCAGACAGGATAGGACCCACACGCTACAAAGATCGGTTCTGCTAAGGACAGAACCTTCGGAGGGAAAGACCTTTGAGAGCTGCTGATCAAAAGGTAGTTGACTAGCCGGCCGGTCTCAATGATGATCATTGTGTTCGAGGAGAGTCAACAGTGGGGCAGATACTACGTGAGCAGTAGCAGGTTCGGGGTTTTGGGGTATCTCCCATTGATACCCATTGCTTCGGAGAGGTTGCATGGTTGAGGCATTTGGAAAGCTGCCGGGTGTTACTCCGTTAAGAGGTAGCTGGCTGTCGTGCTACCCCTAGCTGTGTTCAGGTGACTTGTTTGCGAATGTTTCGCTGATAAAAACCAGTCTGGTTGATAACTCTCATTTGCATTGTGGTCGGAACGACGAACGGGTTCGTGCCGCCAGACTGAGGTCACCGGATGGGTGCTATTTGGGGGAGGGAGAGTGGCTGGGCTTTCGGCCTGCAGCTGCCACTGGCGGCTACCCAGAACGCAGTGACGCAGTTCCTCCAGCAGACTCCAGACAGTGCACTCACACCGATCGATGTGATCGCGCTGGAGCGTGGATCGTATTTAAACCAGTTGCGGTACGCGCTCGAGTCTCAGTAGAAAGTCCAACAGCAAGACGAGCGGTGCAGTTTTTTGTGTGTGTGGATCAGGAGCGGCTAAATTTCTTTCCTTTCCAATGTGCAAGTAGCAAAAGTTCTGTGTCAATGCCAAAAATTACTAGAACGGATTCCAAACAGAAATTGTTCAAACAATCAAGGTAACTAGCATTTGAATGAAATGGCTGGATGGTCCTTTGTCATTGAGGCCTCGACTTCTCTTCAACAGATTAGGCAAGTGTCTGTCGTCCAGGAAAGGATCTCGAACGGGCAATTCGGGCAACAACAAGGAACTCAAAGTGCTCACCCTGCTGCAGTCTGTGCCGTGAATCAGGAGCCGTCTACCCCTCAATCTCTACGCATTTGAAGGCGCACATTTGGCAGGAATCTTCGAAAATGGTCTACACCGAGCGTACCGACAAGTGCACCACCAGCACCAAGGACAATCACTCCAGCAAGGGGCAAGGGTCCGGGAGCTCCCGCTCCCGCTCTTCGTCGCAATCGCAGGGCAGCAGCAAGCCCAGCCACAGCTCGGGCGCCTGGAGCAGTCAGGCCTCCAGTTCGGACAAATGGAAGTACAACAATATGGTCCAGAACGATCGCGAGCAGTTCAATGGCATGCACTTCTCCTAGGCAGGGGGGAGGGACCAAAGGGACCTTCTAAGGACTAGTTGTAGTACACTTTTAATGGACTTAAGTATTGCTATGTGATACGCGAAAAAAAGGCAACAAATAATCTAAATTCCAATTGGAGAACAAAAATTAAAAAAACAACAAAAGATGCGCCAGAAAAGGACACAGGTTTATGAAATCCAGGAAGCCACCTTTCAAGCCTCCCCCATCCATCCGCCCATACCGCCTTTGACCTTGCCACTTGACTTATGCCATCGCATATATTAGTGTCTATAACATTTGCATGAATTGCGGCTATTAGCGCGATTGGGAGCCAACCACCCTCTACAAGCCTGGAAGGGAGTGCTGCACTTAATCGACATTAGCCACGCTTATTTGACAGCCTCAATATGCGCCCTCGTCCTCGGGCTCGGGCTCGTCCTCGTCCTCGACCGAACCCAGGCAGGACTCTTGCAATATTGATGATGTCTGGCGTCTCGCTTGGCGGACGCGTGTCCTGCGCTGGGGAACAAGTGTATCTCTGAGTGCAGGACCGCAGGACGACGTCCGGTTTTCGTTACGGAGTGCGAAATTTTTATAATTTTTCAATTGTATTGTATTGGGCAGGGCCCAAGCAGGAAGTTCCCTTTTTCGGGATGCTGCGGTTGTCCTTTGCCTTGACGCACGACCGAGCAGGGCAGGACACGTGGCGGCGCTGGCTATTAGGAAAAAAACGATTTCCTTGACGGCGCTAATAGAAATCTTTCCTTCTTCCATCCCTTGGGCCAGCCAACCGTATCCTTTTCGGCTGTGTGGGATCCTGGAGCTGTCAATGTGCGACACTTGATGTCTGTGTTGTGCGCTCCATCTAATTTAAGGCCTGGCCCCCACCTCCCCCCACCCCCCCTGGGTGGTGGTGGGCTGTCTGTGTGTTTGGCCTTGTAATTACTTTGTTTCCTAGCGCCAGGCGGTCCTTGTGCTTCGCAAGATTCCTTGTCACTTTTGGTGTGCGATGCAATTAAAACCGCACGGCAGGTGTCCTTTGAACTTTGCTATAAAACGTCTCCCCGTCCCCCTCTCTATATGGAATGTGTCACTTGCAAGGCTTCCCGAAACGGGACAACGCTCTTTCTGATCTATCCCGGCGACAGAAGCAATTATCACGTCATTATCACAGAAAACCCACAAAAATGTTCGCTTTCCTTTGGGTTTTGTTTTCCCGTTTTCCTTTTCCCTCCACAGCACGTGCCCTGCCTGCCCTCTGCAGCTTATGAGGATGGTCAAGGCAGAGACTTGGCCTGGCCCTCTATCAGGCAGCCAGAAAAACTGATTTCCGCTGAAAGACAACCCTCATGAACCACCGCCTCCTCCTTCTTCGGCATCTGATGGTATATGTCACAGTGGCACGTTGGAAAATTATGAATAATATCCGTAACTTCGGGCTAGACACACACACACACACACACACAGACACAGACAGAGAGAGAGATGTTGAGATATTCCAAGCAGCTTGCAGTGAAAAATCGAGGCGGCACTCCACTCCACTCCACTCTACTCTCCTCTAAGTTGATTGCTGTGTGGGGCGTGCCGTCAGATACAACTTCCGACGACATCCGACAGATGTTTCTACTGAGGCTGGCAGGGCGAGAGAGGGTAGAGGGCAGGGGCAGGGGCAGGGACTCACAGGAGTTGCGCCCGCTTGCAAAACAATTGTCGGCAAATTTCACGTCGCGGATGTCTCCGCCAGCAAACAGCATTCGAATTATATTTGAATGTACTCGAACCCTGTGTAGAACGACGACGACGTCGAGGAGGAGGAGGAGGAGGAGGAGGAGGATGACGATGATAATGTACGGGCGTTGACATTTGCCAAAAGGTGTTTTGGTGTTTTTGGGTTCCTGTTTGGCACATGACAATGTCATTGCCACATGGCAGACACAGATCTGAGCTCCTGGGCTCTGCGGCAAGGTGTGACACTGAAAATTGATTGCCCTGGGTAAGGGCGGGCAATGGAAGGGCGTTCAATGCATGATATTTGATCATATTGAATGCAGAGACGATATGTGGGTAGATACAAAGTGAATGGTATTCAATAATAGGCAAAATATTCTATCCAAATTGAATAAATGAAGGATCAATGATCATCGAATGAAACATCCATCAGAACTGAAGCAATCTGCATGATTTTTATAGTAATATGTTACTTCTGTTATATACAAAAATCGCTGGGAGTTGAGTATTCTCTTTGGGTTTTTATACCCGATACTCAAAATGAGTATTGGGGTATATTAGATTTGTGGTGAAAATGGATGTGTGTAACGTCCTGAAGGAATCGTTTCCGACCCCATAAAGTATATATATTCTTGATCAGCATCAATAGCCGAGTCGATTGAGCCATGTCTGTCTGTCCGTCCGTCCGTCTGTCCGTCCGTCCGTCTGTCCGTCTGTCCGTCTGTCCGTCTGTCCGTCCCCTTCAGCGCCTAATGCTCAAAGACTATAAGAGCCAGAGCAACGATGTTTTGGATCCAGACTTCTGTGATATGTCACTGCTACAAAAATATTTCAAAACTTTGCCCCGCCCACTTCCGCCCCCACAAAGGGTGAAAATCTGTGGCATCCATAATTTTAAAGATAAGATAAAACCAAAAACGCAGAATCGTAGAGAATGACCATATCTTATACACTGCGGAATCTGAATTGGATCGTATTATTATTATAGCCAGCATCAAGAAAACAATTTCATTTTTTCTCGCCCTGTCTCTCTCTAACACACACGTAGTATAGGCGGCTTTGCTTAGAGTAAAACATTAGCGCCTAGATCTCAGAGACTATAAAAGCTAGAGAAACCAAATTTGGTATCCACACTCCTAATATATCGGACCGAGACGAGTTTGTTTCAAAATTTCGCCACACCCCCTTCCGCCCCCGCAAAGAATGCAAATCTGGGGATATTCACAAATCTCAGAGACTATTAAAGCTAGAGTAACCAAATTTGGTATCCGCACTTCTGTTAGATCTCACTATAAAACGTATATCTTAAAATTTCGCCCCACCCCCGTCCGCCCCCACAAAGGACGAAAATCTGTTGCATCCACAATATTGCAGATTCGAGAAAACTAAAAACGCAGAATCATAGATACCGACCATATCTATCAGATTGCTGAATCTGGATCAGATCAGATCATTTTTATAGCGAAAGGAAACAAATCAATTTGCAGTGGCTACGCAGCGCGTGACGTCACGCTCAGACTGATTTTCTGTCTCTCTCGCACGCACTCTTTGTCGTGTCGTTAAATATTAGCGGCGTCTGCCGGAGGAGAGCCATACTGACTTAGTATCGGGTATAACCGTAGAGTTGCGGTGTCCGCAGCAACTCACAACGTTCCCCCTCGTTTATAGAATACTTTAGTTACGGGTTAATCATCGTATAAAGAATACAAAAACATTCCTAAATCATGTTCAATTTCCATCCCCTTAAGTACTCAACAAAAAGCTTTATGGATCTTGCATAATGTTCTTTAGGTTGGTAGTGGAATCGGTCCATTTGGAGGAGGATCGAAAAGCGGATTCCCACTTCAAGGTGGCTTAAATAAAATAGCCTTTAAGCAGTGGTTGTTGGGGTTCTTCGAATGAGATTTTCCTACAATCAATCAAGTAAATCCATAATATATCTAGAGTCTCTTTGAGGACTCTTTTATTTAAGTGAAGTAAAGATTTGAGTGGTTTGTCAAGTCAATCAGGTCTTGTAAATCGTATGTATCTCTATCATTCCTGATTTTATGTCTATTGCTGGGTAATCTGAGCCAAGTTTCGTCGCACTGATGGATCTGCACTCGCAAATGGAGGCCTGAATCTGCTGTCGATGCTGGTGCTGGTGGATTGAATAAATATTCTTCTATTAATATTTAGATATGATATTCGATCAGCCTTAGTGGATAGTTGTGGGCAGATATGCAGATCCCCGAACCCATATCATGTCAATCAAGTGCTCTTCTACTCAGAGTCCTCGTTTTTCCATCCCAGCATTATTATTAGGGATTTGCATACATCATATTTCACGCTTCTTATATCGGATAACCTTCCATTAATATATGCAAATGCCGCCATCAAATCCAAATCTATCACGGGGGAATATAATTTACAAAATATGCCAAACATTTGACCAAACAAAAGGTGGCAATTACACAAAAAACACAGAACGCAGAACAGAGAAAAATTCCATTCAATCTGGGAGGGAGAAAGAGAGAGAGAGAGAGAGAGAGAGAGAGATCTGGCGGAGAGGGAGATTTGTAAAATTGTGAATCAAAAGCAACCAACTCCCCTCTCTCTCTCTCTCTCGCACTCCCTTCCTCCTCCCTCCCCCCTCCTCCTCCTCAGTTTTGTTGTTTTTCAGCCGCCATTTCTGGCCGACCTCTGATCGACAGCTGTCATGAATGACAATTGGATTGGCAGAAGCGGTACGGAACGGGACGGTACGGGGTCCCGGAGTCTGAGGCTGCTGCCTCTGTTCCACCATCGGATTCGGATTCCGATTCAGATTCTTATAAAATATGCAATAAAAATTTGAAACCCCCGTAATGATTGCCAGTATTTATAGATTTCCAGAATGCTACGGCTGCTGCTGCGGCGGCGAGGTCATCAAAATGAAAACAACCAAATCGACATGGAAATTGAAACAATGGCGAGGCGAGTCGCAATTGATGCCCCCGGGGGAGATGGCGGATGGCGGCTGGCGGGGGGGGAGTGGAGTGCCAGCTCAAGTGGAGTGCCAGCCGAGGAGTGTG